CTCATCGAGAACTTCTTCCGCATTGAAGCCGTAGTTTCTGTTCGGGTTGCCAAGAGCATTCACAAGCTACCTCCGGTGACGTATGCAGACAGTTGTACATTGGTGCACTATGACAATGACATGAACCCAGGCTTCATCTATTACGAAGCCGAAGGCACTGCCCTAAACGTCCAAGAAATCATTGTTTCAGCACAGTCAAGAATCATCCAGTGCCTGATGTCCACCAAACCTCAGCCTTGCTTCGATCAAGAGATGATGAAGTACGAAGAGCTGGCCGACATGCCAGCACGAGGCATTGACGCCAGGGAGGCCCCAGAAGTCGAACCACCACAGGAAGACGGCCGGCTTCCCACCATCTGTGAGTAACCTGAGGCGGACCTCGAGGCACACATTATGAAAGTGTGGCACGCTGAACTACAAGACGAAAGGGAACTGTCGTAGGCAACTCCAATAGACGAGCTCTTTACTACACCCACACATATAATGACTGACTACAGCGTGCTGGTCACAGTAGCCGAAGAACTGCGGGGGCACCTGCCTACGCGGGGTAACCCACAGGACACACTCACACCGGAGACATGTCATTTCCATTGTGCTTTTCCACGGACGAAGATGACAATTGCGGATTGGACTCTGACGAGCACGGACAATACGTGGAGCTTTGTTTTACGGCAGACGTGTCAAAGGTAGTCTTATCTGGACAACAGCACAGGATATTGGACTTAAACGGGGGGCCGCTATGCGAGTATGTGTGACCGCTGCAGCTAAACGAGCTGCGGTCGTCAAGGAGGACGACCTTCTCACGATGGCAGATATCCAGGTGGATCCAGTCAAGGCGTCAAAGTCCCTATAGACATTCTGAACTCAAGAATGGTTTGACAACGGGTGCTCCAAGATGCAAGATATATCCAAGGCGTCAGACATCACGACTTCGAGGCACGCGTGGATGTAAGTTCGTCCAGCACAAAATGGGCGAGATGGAACGTGCCATCGGGTTGCGCCTGGTACTTCGGAGATTCATGGACCTCGAAGCCTTCGGCATGGGAGCGCTCTCAGGGACGGCGCGGCGGTCGAGCCTGCGACTGCTCGTTATAGCGCGGCAGCGCGCAGGAAGCAGCGGACCACTGCTTCCCATCGACTATCAGGAGCTTGCTGAAGCAACCGGTGAGAAGGAACGCGCGGTGCGTTTCGCATTGCCACCTGGCTCAGCATCTGCGCGCAGATCCCCCATGGGATTCGAGGACTAGGATGAGTCGAGACACTGTTTACAATGCCTCAAACCAGATACTGGTACCAAGGATACACCAAGAGCCACCTCACTGAAGCTCACAGCAAACACGAGAAACTTCGGTCCTCAACCAACCTCCTACGACGAGGAGTTCGAGACGAGCTTCAACCTTCTTACTGCCAAGCATGTTGATGACATAAACATGGCCGGTCGTCGACAGATGCGGCAAGTGCGTTGGGGACATCCTGGGGGAAAGTCAACTCAACAAACACACATATACCAATTGTGCCGTGAGATATGCGAAGGACAGCGACGGCAATGTTACTCTTGACCAAGATGAGTACATACCGCATATCAGTCCTATCTAGCATCGTGGGCTCACGGGCGCAGATGCTGAGGCCAAGGCATCGAATACGGTTATTGACGCGTTTGCCACAGAGGCGGCTTGTCTTACTCCGTCATCACACAAGAGTGGTTGATGGTATATGTTGCATCACTGCAGCGCGTCCAAGAACCGACCGGCATGCAAGCACGACGACTGAGCGCGATTATCAGGAAGTCGCAGGCCTGCCCGAAGAAGATCGTCTATTATGCGATGCCACCAACGGGCGAGGTCGACCTGCACAGCGACTCCGGCTACCGGAGGTGCCGACGACGAAGTCAACGGCTATGGTATTCGCGGGGCAAACCTGCTAAGGCGTGGACGCGCATGCTGGTAAACCCGTCGTCCATCTTGTCGACGCGCACTGCGAGACTCATCGCTTGCAGGTCCGTTCGAGCTACTCAGCGGAAGCACTTGCAGCAGCCCACAAAATGGAAGACTGCTATCCCATGATTGTCACTGTGCACGAACTCCACGCAGGGGCGCTGAAACCAATTCAACTGAAGGATACATTCCAGATGGATGGCCTGAGCATTAAGGTCACTTTCGCCACTGATGCAGAATATCTCTTCGAGTCCTTGCCGAGCCAAAACCTGAAGAAGCCGACTGAGTGTACACTTGGGGACACATATCAGCGGGATACCACACATGATGGAGCGAGGTGTTGTGCATTGTGCGCAGTGGTGTGACACTCGAGATATGACTGCGGATGGCCACGAGCATCGACAGAGACATGCTCCTCCAAATCATGGGAGGAGTGCAATCCTTCAAGCACGACCTGAAACGACACACTCCCGACAGGGCTGGCCAGACGAGATCATGTGAGCCACCTGCGGAGTAGGTATCTGCAGGGTAACTGGCCTGCGAGGTAACTTGCCTGCAAGGTAACTTGCATGCGGGTTGACCTGCTTTGTTGAGCCCGCCTGCTGCTGCCCACCTTGTGTCTTATAATGTGCTGCTGGATAGCTGGCGGCGGATTGACGCTTCGACTCTTCCCCCCCGAGTCTAAAGGAAGTTCGGCAAACGGCGAGAGGTAGCGAGCGCTTGTCCGCGGCCGTTTGCGTTCAAGCGGCAAGCCGCCAATATTCGACTGTGCTTCACCGCGAGGCACACGATTTGCCATCGAGACCGAAAACACGTTCGCTTGACATGGCTGGTCGTTCCCGCGTCTTTCTCCTGCTCTTGGGACTACCGCTTCTACGGTATAGCAAAATTGAATACGGGCTTCCCCTTAGGAGAAGCATCTGGTTGGGGTTCCCGACCAGCTTCAAACTGGAGGAATAGAAATGAGAGGAAAACGGGATGAGGAGGAGGAGGACGAGGAGAAGACAGAGACGGAGGATGAGGAGAACAGGGATGACACGGAGGATGAGGAGGAGGAGGATGAGGAGGAGGAGGAGGAGGAGGAGGAGGAGGAGGAAGAGGAGGAGGAGGAGGGGGGGAGAGGGAGGGGAATGGGGAAGGGGACGATGCATAGGAGGAGGAGGAGGGGAGGAGGAGGAGGAGGAGGGGGGGAGGAGGGCAGGGAGGAGGAGGAGGAGGATCTCAGCCGCCTCGACGTCCTGGTCACTCTTGCCTTGAGGACGCGCAAGGCGGACGCGTTTTTTGTTTTTGCTGTTGTCCACCTCTCTGCACGAGGTGGAACCAGACCGACGACCGCTTGAGCGTGAGGAGGAGGAGGAGGAGGAGGACGAAGAAGAAGAAGAAGAAACAGAAGAACAAGAAGAGAAGGAGGAGGAGGAGGACGAGGACGAGGACGAGGAGGAGGAGGAGGATGGATGGATGGATGGACTCGGCATTGCGCTGTGAGTCTGAAGACACTCACCCCTCGCGCTCACTAAACGAGAGATCGCTCGGGGACACCTCTGAGCAGTCGTGCGATCTCCTCGGACCGAACGAGGTCAGGCGTGTGGGCGCGCCGTGCAGCTGTGATCACCTTTGATCAGAGCCGAGCAGGACAGGAAACAGGAAAACGCCCGCGGGCGGGGGGTGATACCCCTCTGGCCCCTGGGGGCCGAGCTCGACGGCGCGGAGAGCGCCGAACAGGCTCCCTGGACACCCAGAGGCCCCGAGAAGGAAAAAAAACAGGCCGAAGAAAAGAGCCGACGGCGCGCCCTAGAGACCAGGGGCGGCGAGAGCGACTAGAGGGGCCTGGTGCTACAGCGAGGCTGCTGGAGGGACTCACGACGTCACGTAGTGTGCTGGTCGCCCATCTCTTTCCGTAGGATCCGCCACCCATGTCAGCCCTTCTGGCCGTAGTGGATCTGGCGGCTCTTGTCTAGCAGGAACGGCGAGGACGACACCGCTGCGATGCCCTCCCCCGTGATGTAGTAGATGTCGTTCTGGCCCTCCTTCATACGGTCGATGTACTCCTTCAGGCTGATCGTCTCATCTCCGGACTTCGAGGTGTGGTAGCGCATAAGCTCCGCGACCATGGTACGGTTGGTGGAGTCCTCGTGCACGCCCAGCTTGAGGCACTTCCCAAACTGCTCGTAGAACTTCTTGTAGTCATCCTTCTTTTCGGCGATCTCCGCGAACATTTCGAGGCACTTCTTGACGAGCTTCTTCTTGATCACGCGCAGGATCTTGTTCTGCTGCAGCGTCTCGCGGGAGATGTTCAGCGGCAGGTCCTCGGAGTCAACCACGCCCTTCACGAAGTTGAGCCGCTCGGGCATCAGCTCGTCGCAGTCGTCCATGATGAAGACGCGTCGCACGTACAGCTTGATGTTGTTGCGCTTCTCGAACAGGTCGAAGGGTGCCCGGCGCGGCACGAAGAGCAGCGCGCGGAACTCCAGTTGGCCCTCCACGCTGAAGTGTTTCACGGCCAGGTGGTCCTCCCAGTCGTTGGACAGGGGTTTGTAGAACGAGGCGTACTCCTCGTTGGTCACGTCCTCGGACTTGCGCATCCAGAGCGGCTTGTTCTTGTTCAGCTGCTCCCACTCGTGGGATACCGCCTTGACCTTCTTGTGCGCGTAGAGCCTGGTGTGCTGAGCAGGTTGAGGCTCTCGCTCCTGAGTGCGTCCAGGGGCGCGGCAAGCGCCTGTCGACATGTAGGCGGCCGCCCGCGGCGAGAAGCCGACGGCCGCGAGCAAGAGGAGAGCCTCCATCATGGGCCTCTTGGGCCCCGCGGGCGCGTGGGCATCGCGCGCTGCTCCCCTGGCGGGCGATGGAACAGGGTGGGAGGGCCGCGTGTCCCTCGACCTTCAGCCGTGGCGGCGGCTGGAGGAGGAGGAGGAGGAGGAGGAGGAGGAGGAGGAGGAGGAGGAGGAGGAGGGGGGGGGAAGGAGGGGGAGGGGGAGGGGGAGGATGCAGAGGAAGAGGAGGAGAAGGAGGAGGAGGAAGAGGAGAAGAAAAAGGAGGATGGGGAGAGGATGGACAAAGGGGACACAGGTCGACCTGGAGGCCGAGCTCGGAGACCTGCTCCCCGACGGGCTCGAGGAGGACGGGCTCGGCCGCGCACGGGGCCCCGAAGTTGGCAGCCAGGGCGGCGTCCACTTCGATCCCGTCGATCTGATTCGACCCCAGGCGCACGTTCTCGGGACCAGGAAGATCGGGACCAGGAATATCGGGCCAACGAATTTGGTGTATTCGGCACGTCAAATAAAAAACCGGCCTGCCGGTAGGTGCCCCACGGAAGTCTTCTATCCCCCCGAAGGCCTTGGGCTGCTTTTCGCCGTAGGAATCGGTTCACCGCTTCAGTTTCCAGCGAGTCACTCGGCCAATCGACGATGGACGATGACGAACGCCCACCGAGACGTCTGCGCCATTTGCTGAAATTCTTGCCTTCCTTGGGCCACCATCGGGACCAGGAATATCGTTGGAGGGTCGGTGTGTTAACCCGCCTCCCTTGATGCTTCAGGAGGAGTTAACTCACATGGGCATTGGAAGACACATCGGTCGATGTCAACCGCCACGTTGTGGTCGTCATTTCGGGGCAGCGCGGGAACGCTCCGATTTCGGTCGCACGGAGTGGTCCAGAGGGGCCCGAATCCCTGACGTTCCCCGTTCTCGCCGCTGCGGACGCCGCCGACGTCGAACTTGTACCTCCCCCGCGCGTGCACACGTTCTCGGCGCCCCCCAAGCCGCCTGCATCAAATCGGAGAGGCTGGTGCCGTGTCGATGCGTCTGTGCCCCCGCCGCGGGCGTTCAAGGTTGGACGCCGCCAGTGGCCCAAAGCCGGCCAGTATGGAACGATCCGGGAGCCGAAATAGGGGAACGAAGGATGACATAAACATAAAAGCTCGGAGGTCCGCGCGGGTGTCTCGGATCCGCGCTGGAGCCCCCTCCCTGGCGCACGGAACCCGCCAGGGGCGGCGCCGGAGGCGCCGCCAGGGCGGTCCAGCGCCGATCCGAGAAATCCGCGCGGACCTCCGAGTTTTTATATTTATGTCATTCTTCGCTCCCCTAGAAAAGCCGCCGATCGTTCGAGGTTGAACGATCCACGCGATGGCAGAGACCAACAGCACCAGGGTCGTCGCGGCATGAGGCCGCCGCAGCTCTGGGGGCAGAGGGTGCTTGCGCCCGCGGTGCCGGCCAGGAGCCAGTGGCCTCCGGCGGCACCGAGCTCGACGGGCTCTTCTCCGAGGCAGAGGAGGCCAACAACCAGCCTGAGGGTCGAGAGGACCAGGGGCAGGAATCGAGGAAGAAAAAACGCCATGAACATAAACTGTTGGTGCTCCGCGCGGATTTCTCGGGTCCGCGCTGGGGCCCCCCTCTCGGCGCTTCCGGCGCCGCCCCTGGCGCGCTTCGCGCGCCAGGGAGGGGGGTCCCGCGCAGATCCAAGAAATCCGCGCGGACCTCAAAAAGGAGGAGGGATCGAGGATTGAGGCTTTCGGGTAGCGTTTTTGGATCTGCTTGTGCTTCCTGGGGTACAATCAGGGCGCTGAGATGCGGAGCAGTACGGGTTCGGAACGGGCTTGTGGATCTCAGGTCATGCACCCAGGCGGTCTGGGGTCTACTCGGAGATACCATTCCTCTGCGTTCCTTCTGGTAGTAATCTGGCCGTACCCTCGTGGCCACATTCTGGTCAGCACATGCCCCAGGGCAGGTCAGAGTGGCGATACTCAGGGAGGGAGGAGGAGGGGGGAAGGGAGGCCTCGCAATCAAGGGGTATCGTCACATATCTCTCCTTCTCCTCCTCCTCCTCCTCCTCCTCCTCCTCCTCCTCCTCCTCCTCCTCCTCCTCCTCCAGCCGCCGCCACGGCTGAAGGGCGCGGGACACGCGGCCCTCCTACCCTGTTCATCGCCCGCCAGGGGAGCAGCGCGCGATGCCCACTCGCCCGCGGGGCCCAAGAGGCCCATGATGGCGGCTCTCCTCTTGCTCGCGGCCGTCGGCTTTTCGCCGCGGGCGGCCGCCCGATCGTCGACAGGCGCTGGCCGCGCCCTCGGACGCACTCAGGAGCGAGAGCCGCAACCTGCTCCGCACACCAGGCTCTACGAGTACTACACCCCTTTTCTACCTGACGGGCAGCACCCGCGCGCAGGAGATCACCCGCGAGCACTACATGGGCGAGATCCTCTTCCCTGGGATGAGCCACCGCCAGACTCTGGACGGCCGCCACAGCCTCTCTCAGCACGACTACCACGGGGAGCTCTCCCTCGGCTGGACCAACAAGAGCATCGGAGGGAGCATCTTCCTACATCAGCGGTTTCTGCAGGCACATCTACGTCGGATCGACCTTCCGCCCGCGGCGCTCTTGGGCCGCTGCGGCGCGACAGTGCCGCTCCTCGGACGTGCTCCTCATGGCTCGGCACCTCTCCGTGCCGTCCGAGTCCTACTCATACCGCCAGGTGACCCAGGCCATGACCTCGTGGGCACGCACTATGATGGAGTTCGTGGGCAGTCGCCGCGCGCCCGTCAGCGGGGCGGACCTCAGCTCGGCGACTCCGTGGACGAGACGTTCCTCGGCTCCCCGCCCCTGCTCGTGCCCGACTTGTGGAGCGAGGTCGACAGCGCCGTGGGCACCTTCCTTGAGCTGGAGGGCCCCTCTGGACGTCTCTGGCGACGGTTCCTCTCGGACCACGGCACCTTCTGTGTCAGCGGGGACACCTTCTTTGGGACGCACGGAAGCTCACGCAGGATTGACTTCCTCTACGCCCCGTCCGCCCAGGAGTCCCACACACGACAGTGCAAGGCCCCCATGGGAACAGGTCGCCGCCTCAACATATTGTACGATCGAGACCACCGCTCTGTCTACGCGGGCGACATCATCGAGGCCCACGCGCTGCACACTTGGAACTACGACACGATCATGCTTCGTCGGGAGGGCGCCCTGAAGACGCGCGACCTGCAGCAGGCCGTCACGTCCCTCCCCAAGATGGTGCGCCTGCACGCCCAGCTGCTCAGGGACCTAGCGGACTCGGAATGGATCAGCATCGACACCACGCCCACGGCCACCTCGATCATCGCAGCTCGGGTAGCGGGCAAGAAGTTCTCAGAGGCGGCGCAGTTCCCCGAGGCGAAGCCCCAGCTCACCACTTTTGTACCTCGCTCACGCCGAGTTCAAGTACCCGTCGGCCTTCGTGGTGCAGGAGGCCCCGCTGGGGCACGGGCTCTCGCGCACCTTCCACCAGCAGTTCGTTTGCACGGAGACGGGCTCGGAGCTCTTTTCCACCTCAGGCTGCGCACGCGCCACAACGACCAGTACACCAGGATGCAGTTCGCTAGCGCGGACCAGATCACACGGAAGAGCGTCAGCCCAGACGGCCCTCGGGAGACTTGTCTCGACTTTCTGGGCGGCCGCCAGAAGATGGGGACGGGCCACCTGGAATCGATGGCCCAGAAAATGCCAGACAAGAACCGCCAGATCCACTACGGCCAGAAGGGCTGACATGGGTGGCGGATCCTACGGAAAGAAATGGGCGACCTACGTGACGACGTGAGTCCAGCAGCTTCGCTGTAGCACCAGGCCCCTCTAGACGCTCTCGCCGCCCCTGGTCTCTAGGGCGCGCCGTCGGCCCCTTCTTCGGCCTGGTTTTTTTTCCTTCTCGGGGCCTCTGGGGTGTCCAGGGAGCCTGCTCGGTGCTCTCCGCGCCGTCGAGCTCGGCCCCCAGGGGCCAGAGGGGTATCACCCCCCGCCTGCGGGCGTTTTTACGGTTTCCTGTCCTGCTCGGCTCGGATCCATGGTGATCACAGCTGCACGGCGCGCCCACGCGCCTGACCTCGTTCGGTCCGAGGAGATCGCACGACTGTTCAGAGGTGTCCCCGAGCGATCGATCTCTCGTTTCGTGAGCTCGAGGGGTGAGTGTCTTCAGACTCACAGCGCAATGCCGGGTCCATCCATCCATCCATCCATCCATCCATCCATCCATCCATCCATCCATCCATCCTCCTCCTCCTCCTCCTCCTCCTCCTCCTCCTCCTCCTCCTCCTCCTCCTCCCCCTCCCCCTCCCCCTCCTCCACCTCCTCCTCCTCCTCCTTTTCCTCCTCCTTCTCTCCCTCAGTCCACGGCCGTTTGCCAAACTAGGCTGGCCCCACAAGTCGGGCAGACCAGTTGCTACAGATTCTGGACGCATGTGCAATCAGCTACGTGCAATAGTCCTCCGTTCTTCTTCTCAGCACCTCCATTCAGACATGGGCGTTCCGCGGGGCTCGGCGAGGCCACGGTTGAGCCGCAAGCTTCATATGTCGGGCTGCTGGGATCCCAGGCCGTCCGGTGCCAATCACCCCTCATGGCTGGGCCCATTCTGGTGCCACTCTCTTCCGTAGGCGGACCACTTTGCTGCCTACTCCGAGAAGGCTTCATGGGTCTGAGTAGGGGGTATGGGACCTGTGCAGGCGGTGGATATGGATGTATTCGGGCCCAGGGAGGACCCAATATGCACACCCCCGAAGATCGACCCTCCCCAAGCGGCGAGTATACGCAGATCCCTGCCTAGGAGAACGCAGACAGCCCCAACGAGGATGCAAGAGGTTCCAAGATGGCTCTGGACGCCCCCAAGACAGCTCCAGGGAGCGTCGAAACGGCTTCATAACGGGCACGCACGGGCGCCAAAGAGAGCCGCAAGAGCGCTAAGAGAGCCAGGAGAACTGCCCCGAGAAGGCTCTGGCGCGCTCCCAAACGGCCCAGTGGCGCCAAGAAAGCCACATGACGGCCCCAAGATGGTCAAATCTGCTCCATGGGCGGAACTACACTGCTACAGCGCTCCAAAAAGCCCAGTGGTTCCCAATAGGACCCCCAAAAATATTCCAACTGTCCACCAGGATGGCCCCATTGGATCCCCCCAAACAGAAACACAATATCCCAGAATGCCCCCAGAAAACCCCCGCGAGTATACGTACACTACGGCCTCAATGCGGACCCCAGACGGCTCAGCACTTCGTGGCACCACGTCAGGACAGGTTGGAGGTTCACGGAGCAGTCGAAAAGAGTAGACCGACGAGGGGTCACCGTCCTGGGTTCGTTGGGTTATCTGAGTGTGTTGTTCTACATTTCTGTGTTTGACCATCGTAGTTGTTTGGTGGCATCCCCACGGGAGTAAGGCACGTTCTTCGAAGTTGATGAGTTGTTGCGTTGAGGGTCTGGCTAGGAACCAGTAGAAGGGGGATTGGAGTGCAGAGAGCAGACACAAGAAAGTACAGACAGCAGGACGAGGACAAGCACCACGACAGAACACATTAGTTGAGAGCACCCGAAGATTCCGTGGGATATTTTGTGTTCGGGGGATTGCGCCGATTTCTGGCAGGGGCAGGCGGTGGCGGAGGTTGTGGAGTGAGAGATAAGGAGGCCACGTAATGAAGACGAAAGTTCGGAAGAGAGATGGGGTGGAGGAGGAAGAGGAGGAGGAGGAGGAGGAGGAGGAGGAGGAGGAGGGGGAGGGGGAGGGGGAGGGGGAGGAGGAGGGAGAGGGGAAGTTGAAGAGGCCGCTTCGTCGACACTTGAGGCGGGCATTGGCGGACGTGTGGCCTCTTGGAGGCATGCTCGGGGTTATCGAAGACGCCTACGGTGAATCACCGCCGCCCCCTGCCTACTGGAAGCGCCTACGAAAGGTTCGCGTCGTGTCGACCGACGGCGACCTCGCCGCTGGCGTTCAACCGTGAACGCCGCCAGTGACCCAGAATCGGTCGATGTTGAACAGTCTGGCGGTTCGGAAATGACCGATCGTTCAAGGCTGCATCCTCCCAACCCGTTCCTCCCAGCACAATACAGTCGGGACGCTGAAGAAGGAACCCTTTTCGTTGGGGAGGGGTTCCGTGTTCCTTTATTGTTTTACACTTTGCCTTGGGTGTTCCTGAGGTTTTCCCTGGGAAAGCGAAGTTTAACCTATCGGGAAAAGGGGCCTCGTTCCTCATTTAGGGTTCCTTAGGTCAACGCCCCGATTATAACAGTTCTCCTCGGACGGCGGGGTGGCCCGCCGCCCAGAGGACCCGCGGGGGCCTCCGAGGCCCCAGATGGCCTCGGCGGGGCTCCGGGCGCGGAGCAGGGCGCGCCGACCTCTGCACCGCGCGGCGGCCTCGAGGGGGAGGTCGGGTTGGCCCAGGTTTAGGTCGGGCCTGCCCCCCTACAGGGAGATTTTTGGGGAAAAATGCACACACACAAACACACACACACACACATATATATATATATATATATGTATATGTATATATATGTATAAATAAATACCACAAATATTCCAACATGGTCAAAAATGGTCAACAAATCGTCCCCAGACCATTTTGCACTACTTTTGAATGTAGAGGGACAGGCCCGACTTAAGCCCAGGTCCACGAGAGGTCGCCCCAGGGCGTCCCAGAATGCTCTCGTGAGAGCGCTCCAGAGCGCTCTGGAACGGACACCGCTCCCGGCACATCCTCCGCCGGACCTCGTCGGGAGCCTGGAGACGGGGGTCAATGCAAACGGGGGTCAGCCAGAGCGCCCGATCTTGCAGGATCCTGCAGGGCCAGGGTCGCATTGACCCGGGTTTGGGTGCAGGATCTTGCAGGAGTTTACAGGATTTTGCAGGATTCGTCGCATTGACCCAGGTTTGGGTGCAGGATCTTGCAGGATTCTGCAAGGCCTGATTGACCCAGGTCTGGATTGACCCGGGTGAGAAGATCCCCGATGTCAGAGATCCCCGATCCGTCGGGCATTGCGTCATGGGGGGGCGAGCAGCGAGGGGGGGAAGACGAGTGCACCCTAGGTGCACCCTCAGGGCTCAGGGGCCCTGGGCCCAAAGGGGCATGAAACGCGCACGTTGCTTCGCCCCCGCCCCCGCCCCCCATGATCGGCGTCACCCCAGCATACTTGTAGTATATGTTAGGGGCGACGCGCGCACCGAAAAATGTCATGATACATGCGTGGTGGCGTGCGTTTTTCCGCCCACACCGCTCGGGAAGCGATATATATATATATATATATACATATATATATATACACACTACAAGATGGGTATAGCATATATGTTCGGATCGGACGCGCGCCTCCAAGGAGGACATGTCTCTATGCGTCCCCCATTACGCCACGTCAAAGTTCGGTCGTGCATGTCTCTGTACAGGAGGAATATCCAAAAGTAATCAAACGAAAAAATACGCAGGCCGAAATAATTTTCTCTTGAGCCCCAAATGTCGGAAGCGACGTGCCGTTCAGGTGAGCGGGTACATGTAGCGCTCTCTTCGGTTTCGTGCCTCCTCCCTCCTCCTTCCCCTCCTTCCTAGGAAGCCCCCCCATTCCCCCGTAGAATCATACCTTTGGTCAGCAGGTCCACCACCCCCCCGCCGGCGAGGAGCCGCGGCCCGCCCCTGACCCCGGCAGCGCAGACCTCGACGGCCTCTTCTCCGACGCGGAGGACGGCCCCGCCGCGCGCACCCCTCCCGCAGAGCACGCTCCGGGCCGGACGCCCGAAGTGGGGGCAGAGTTGTGATGAAGTCGGACCTGTCCCTCTCCGGTGGGAGTACGCAACAAATAGTAGAAAAGTAGTCTGGGGACGATGTTTCGGCTATGTTTGATGATTTCGGGAGTTTTTTTAAACTACTTTTCATTTGTCGTCCAAAATCCGCCTGTAGGGGACATGCCCGACCTAATTTTATGATGTTCCAACATGCTTTGCCTTGATCACCAAAAAAAGAGTTTCGGGGTCCAAGAGAGTTCCGAGCCTGGAGGGTTTTCACGCGTCGGGCCCTGGGAGGAGATGCGGGCCTCGGAAAAGAATAGCGAACTCTCATGCCACACTCATCTGTCAACACCTCCCCCCTCCCCCCAATGTTCAGAAAGTTGGCGGTGGGTCTGATGAGTTGCACCTCGACCGCAGTCTCTCCCGCGCGTGCCAACTTTGAGTTTAGGGGCGAGGGGGAGTGTTCGGTAATTGTTTCCCTCTACCGTAGGGGAACGAAGAATGACATGAGCATAAAAACTCGGAGGTCCGCGCGGATGTCTCGGATCCGCGCCGGAGGCCCCTTGCGGCGCCTCTGGCGCCGCCACGGGCGCGCTCCGCGCGCCGGGGAGGGGGGTCTAGCGCGGGTCCAAAAAGTCCGAGCGGACCTCCGAGTATTCATGTTTATGTCAATGCGCGTTCTGCTATATTATATAGGGCCCCAGCGACACCTCATGTGGGGTGGCCTCTTGGTTCAGTTGGATGGACCCTACCGGCCCTTCTCGTGGCCCTACCTAAGCGGGCCTTGCCGGCCCTGCCGACCCTACGAGGCTACATTCGGTCGGGAAGTTTCGGGTGTTGCTAGAAGTGCCGCTGGCCCGAGGTGCCCCCCGGATTTCCAGGGTGGCCCCCACCGCCTTCAGGGCACCCCTCACGAGGCCCAGGCGGCCCCAGGGCCTCCAAAACGGAGCGAAAAGCTGGGGGCACCTTGGGCCAGGGGCACCTTGGGCCAGGGGCACCTCTAGCAACCTCCTCCTCCATATCCCCCTCCTCCTCCTCCTCCTCCTCCTCCTCCTGCTCCTCCTCCGCCTCCTCCTCCTCCTCCTCCTCCTCCTCCTCTCCTCCTCCTCCTCCTCCTCCTCCTCTCTCTCTCGCACTCCCGAGAGGGGCGGCGAGCCCCGCGGAGTCCACAAGTCTGCGCGTCGGGCGCTGCCGCGGCCGCGGGCGCGATCATCGTTCCTCGCTGCTGCAGCTGCTGCTCCGATCCCCATCCACTCCTCACCGTCGTCGTCGACTCTGCTGTCCGCTGCTCCTGGGGGGGGGGGGCCTTCGGCGCCCCCGTCCGCGGCGGCCGCCCCCTCAGCCAGACTCCAGACGGTGGCGGGGGCGGAGGCGGCGGCGGCGCGTCCGCCGGGGGGGGCGGCGGGGGCCGCGGCCCGCGGCGGGCAGCAGCCGAAGGGCCGCAGGGCGGCGCCGTGCAGCGGCGGCGGCGGGCGGCGCTGCCCCTCCTCCTGGCCACCGCTGCAGCGGGGGGCGCCTCGGCGGCCGCTGCAGCGGGAGGGGCCTCTCCGGGCCTCGGCGCTCGGCGCCGCTCTTCCGGCCCCCGGGCGGGGGCGGCGGCTGCTCCTCAGCACCGATCGCGAGAAGAGGTCGCCAACGAGGGTCGAGCTGGTCCAGCATCTCGCGGGGGCTCAGCGGCACCCAGGTTTCGGGAGCCTCGAGACGGGGGTCAGTGCAAACGGGGGTCAGCCAGACCGCCCCGACCTTGCAGGATCCTGCAGGGCCAGGGTCGCATTGACCCGGGTTTGGGTGCAGGATCCTGCAGGATCCGTCGCATTGACCCGGGTTTGGGTGCAGGATTTTGCAGGATTTTGCAGGACTCTGTCAGGCCTGACTGACCCGGGTCTGGATTGACCCGGGTCAGCAGGTCCCCGAAGGTTGCTTTGTCGTCGTCGCAGAGCTCCTCCCAAAGCTCGTAGCCGTGCGCGTTGGAAGCCATGTAGTTCGCATAGGCGGCTAACTCGCACAACGAGACCTCGAGGTACGCGAGCTGCTCTTCGACGGCCAGCCTCTCGAAAGCGGCCTGCTCGCCAAGGTCGAGAATGGCAACGATCCGCCCGTCGTCAGAGCAATCTTCGGCGCCGTGCGCAAACACGCACCAGGGTCGTCGGCTGCTGGTGGGGATCTCCATCCTGCTCCATGTGGCCGCGATCGAGTCCTCGAGGACACCGTCGCCCTCGTACTCGTCGCTCTCCTCGGCGCTGTCCTCGAGCCCGCCGTCGCCCTCGTACTCGTCGCACGCCTCGCCCTCGTACTCGTGCCCGTCGTCCGAGCATTCCTCGGCGATGTCATCGAGGACGGCCTCGCCGGCCGGGGCAACGCCGACCCAGGCCTGCACGTTCCCTAGATTGGATCCTCCGCCGGGGAAGGGGATGCGGGCCCCAAGAATCTGCACCACCACCACCACCACGTCGATTCCTCCTCCCTCCTTCACCCTCACCTTCCTCTCCTCTCTCCTGGGAGAGGGAGGGGATGAGGGAGGTGGCAGGCCCGGAGGTTAACACCAACGCCAAGATCGGCGGAGTGCCTCCACCGAGGGAAGAAGATCCCGAGCTCGGTGATGGTGGTCAGGATCTGGCTTCCGAGGTGGCCGAAATAGATTACCAGCCGGCCGCTCTGCGGTTGATCGGGAGTTTCTGTATATAGAAGAAGGTGCGTGCGCTTGTTGGCGAGGGTGAGGATGAGGTCCTCCTCCTCCTCCTCCTCCTCCTCCTCCTCCTCCTCCTCCTCCTCCTCCATCCTTCTCTTGCCTCCGTCTGTCCTCCTCCACCCCGCAGCTCCATCATCCTCCTCCTCCTCCTCCTCCTCCTCCTCCTCCTCCTCCTCCTCCTCCTCCTCCTCCTCCTCATTCCTCCTCTGGGCACCTCCCCCGGGGCGCGGATCCACCGGATCTGTCCGGATCTGTCCGGAAACGGTGCCGGATGCCGCTCTGGGCTCCTCTGGGCACCTCCCCCGGGGCCGGTTTTGTGAGGATGTCTCAAGCGAGGGCGCCGGTTTGGGATTCGTCGGATCCACCGGATCCAGCGGATCTGTCCGGAAACGGTGCCGGAGGCCGCTCTGGGCTCCTCTGGGCACCTCCCCCGGGGCCGGTTTTGTGAGGATGTCTCAAGCGAAGCGAGGGCGCCGGATCTGTTGGGATTCGTCACCGGATCCAGCGGATCCAGCGGATCTGTCCGGAAACGGTGCCGGAGGCCGCTCTGGGCTCCTCTGGGCACCTCCCCCGGGGCCGGTTTTGTGAGGATGTCTCAAGCGAGGGCGCCGGTTTGGGATTCGTCACAGCGGATCCAGCGGATCCACCGGATCTGTCCGGAAACGGTGCCGGAGGCCGCTCTGGGCTCCTCTGGGCACCTCCCCCGGGGCCGGTTTTGTGAGGATGTCTCAAGCGAGGGCGCCGGTTTGGGATTCGTCACCGGATCCAGCGGATCCACCGGATCTGTCCGGAAACGGTGCCGGAGGCCGCTCTGGGCTCCTCTGGGCACCTCCCCCGGGGCCGGTTTTGTGAGGATGTCTCAAGCGAGGGCGCCGGTTTGGGATTCGTCGGATCCAGCGGATCCACCGGATCTGTCCGGAAACGGTGCCGGAGGCCGCTCTGGGCTCCTCTGGGCACCTCCCCCGGGGCCGGTTTTGTGAGGATGTCTCAAGCGAGGGCGCCGGTTTGGGATTCGTCACCGGATCCAGCGGATCCACCGGATCTGTCCGGAAACGGTGCCGGAGGCCGCTCTGGGCTCCTCTGGGCACCTCCCCCGGGGCCGGTTTTGTGAGGATGTCTCAAGCGAGGGCGCCGGTTTGGGATTCGTCACCGGATCCAGCGGATCCAGCGGATCCACCGGATCTGTCCGGAAACGGTGCCGGAGGCCGCTCTGGGCTCCTCTGGGCACCTCCCCCGGGGCCGGTTTTGTGAGGATGTCTCAAGCGAGGGCGCCGGTTTGGGATTCGTCACCATCCAGCGGATCCAGCGGATCCACCGGATCTGTCCGGAAACGGTGCCGGAGGCCGCTCTGGGCTCCTCTGGGCACCTCCCCCGGGGCCGGTTTTGTGAGGATGTCTCAAGCGAGGGCGCCGGTTTGGGATTCGTCACCGGATCCAGCGGATCCAGCGGATCCACCGGATCTGTCCGGAAACGGTGCCGGAGGCCGCTCTGGACTCGTGCTCTTCGCGCCGGGGGTGAGGATGACGTGAGTTCCACAGAAACTCCCTCAAACCACCAACACCGAAATCTGGGATCATCTTCTCCCTGTGGAGGCAACCCCCGGTGTTGGTGTTGGTGCCCATGTCCAGGCCTCCAATGGTGGTGTAGAGTCGGGGCCCTGAAGAAGGAACCCTTTTGGTTGGGGAGGGGCTCCGTGTTCCTTAAGTGTTTCGCAGCTTGCCTCAGGCTTTCCCACGGTTTTCGATGGGACATCGAAGTTTTTTATGGAAAAAAGGGGCATCGTTCCTTATTTAGGGTTCCTTAGGTCAACGCCCCGACGGTATACCTCTGGTCCCTTTTAGGGGGAGGGCTCGCGGCGTGGGAGCCCCCTGGCGCCCCCCGGGGCCTCTTTGCCCCAGACGCTGGGCGGCGAGGCGCCAGCAGGAGCGGCATGCTCGGGTGACCGCGGGGGCGCGCACGGGCCAGGGTCAGGTCGGGCACGACCCCCCCCCCACAGGGGGAGTAGTCAAAGATAGTCGAAGAATAGTCTGGAGACGATTTGTCCGACCATGTCTGGCCATGTTCGCATATGTGTTGACGATGTGTATCTTTTCCTCCAAGATGCGCCTGTAGGAGGACATGCCCGACCTAAGGATAAGTAGGGGGTTACGAAGGCGTGCTTGCGAAGGTGGCTTGCACATGGCCTGATATGGCCTTCTTAAATGGGTAAGAGGTGCCTCAAGTGGCTTACGATCTTGACTATAAGAGTCAGTGGAGTTATCGAACCAACCCAGGCCACTCGAGGCACTTGTAGCCTGCTTATAAGCTAGGTCACGCCAGATATAACCCACCTTGGCAACCCTCGCGGTCATCCCAGTGGCGGGGGCAGTGATCGGGCGAGGAGGCTTGAGGGCCCAGGGGTGAGGTCAAACGTACCCAGCCCACAGATATGCCTTGGAGAAGAGGCCTGAGGGCCTACCTCGGGACGCCCAAAGGCTGGGCTTTGGCGCACCGTTGTTGGGAACCGTGGTTGCTGCAACGCCTAACTGGGGGTACGTCGTTCTGGGGGCAGGTTTGGGCCTCTCCAGAGGGGCCTGCCCAGCGTCGCACTGCAAGCTGTACGGTGATGATGACGATGCCGATCTTGAAAAGCATGTTTTTGATAATCGTGTTGATGTGCACGAGCTCCGTGCCCCGTCTGCATGGCCTGCTTGTGCTGCTTCAATTTGCGTTTCGCCTCTGCCTTCTTTTGTTGTTCAGTCCTGCCTCTGTGGGCACTGCGTTTTCCAATGGGAGCCTTGTGTCAAAAATGACGGGGCGCCAACGTGGACCCCAGGCAGGGACAACCTGAGTGCAGGCGTTGCTGAGGAAATGGGGAGCAGCGTTCGCCATCGTCTAAGGGTATTGCCTGCCTTTTGTCCCCCTCTTTTCACCAAACATGATACAACCCCTAACCCTCATAAAACAATGAAGTCATGGCCTAACTTAGGTCCACGTTTTTTATGGATAAACCTACACATATGGGTGGTTGTGGGTTCGTCTGACACATCTACAAAAACTATCCCTCATGTTTCTGGAACTTAGGCCCCCTCCCGAAGGGTTCAGGGTACTTTGATTGCTCCTCGCAGAGTTAGCAGCACGAGAGAGGGAGCCGTGAGCTGCAGGGCGCGGGGGGGGAGGATAAGGAGGAGGGGGAATGAGCAGGGGGAGGAGGAGTAGGAGGCGGAGGCGGAGGCAGGCGGAGCAGGAGGAGGGCAGACCCAGACATCCGACGGTCCGATTTGCTCCACACGGGGCCTTCACAGACGCCGCAGGGCCGGCTTCTCATCCCGAGCCGCTCCTGCCGGCCCCGCCCGCGGCCCCGCGAGGGCCCCCCCGAGGCCGAACCCGGCGCAGCGCCTCCGCATCTTGCAGCGGAGGCCCCTGCCAAGAAGCGCCCTGCTTGCCTCCAGGGTGCCCTGGGTTTCTCGGGTCGGGCGAAAGGGGGGGGGGTCGGGCGAAAGGGGGGGGGGTACGAAATCTGCTGCATGTAGCCGGCTTCGGCCCCGCCGCCGGGCCCATTCCTCGATGCATGGGCGCCTTCCGGCGCCGGGCGACGCCGGGAAAATCAGCTGCGTGAGCTGATTCTCAAACCCCCCCTTTGCTATTCCCCCCCTTTCGCCCGACCCGAGTTTCTTGGGTTTCAAAGGTTCTGCTGATGAAGGCGTGAGGTTCCCACACCAAGAATCGGTTGGCGTCCCGGGGTTCCAGGGTTGGGCTTCATGTGGAAGGTTTCGCGTGGACTGGCCTCCACTGTATTTTTCAACACTGTGGAGGTCTGGGGAGAGCGCGGACGATTGAGAACGCCCAGCCTTACGTCGCTCCCATCGTACTGAAGGACACCATCCCAGAAATGATTTCGAGCACCCAGAAGAGTATCGAAACAGTGTCGACCGAGTATCGCCTCGCAGTGCCCGACACGCGAAAACCCTCCAGTTTCCATACTTTCTTGGTCCTCAAAGTTCCTTCTGGTGATCCAGGCTAAAATAGGTTGGAACATCAGTAGTCTAGGGAGAGCGCGGACGATACAGAACGCCCAGCCCGGCTTCCCGCTGCCCGCCGCCCCCCATTGTCGCAGGCCTAGAGGTGGACACCTACACCAATTTCGGCGGTGTGCCTCCACCGAGGGAAGAAGATCCCGATCTCGGTGATGGTGGTAAGATTCTGGCTTCCGAGGTGGCTGAAATATATTATTACCACCAACACCGACATCTGGCATCATCTTCTCCCTGCGGAGGCACCCCCCTGTGTTGGTGTTGGTGCCCATGTCCAGGCCTCCAACATTACTGGGGTCCAGGAGCCGGCGCCGCCGGCGGCAGCGGCGCCCCGGCAGCAGGAGATCGCCGCGGCAGCACCGGACGCGGGTGCGCCGAGGGGTGTCGGGAGCATGGAGACGGGGGTCAATGCAATGCGCCTTCGTGTTGACAGCACAGCCAAGACGTTGAAATTTGGAACCGTTCGGGTTGGGAAGGGGCTCGACGTTCCTTACAGTCAGTAGGTTCGTCCATGGCTATTTCTCCAGCGTTCCTCGTCCACGCAGGCAGGTTTGGGGTCAAAGAAGGGGCTTCGTTCCTTATTTGACGTTCCTTCTTTCAGCGGGCCGACTGTAGCTGTTTTCTCGGTTCCCATATCCATCTGCTTTGGCCGCATTCCTATTTCAGGGGTCGAGGGGGTTTCTCTCCTCCTTCCTCTGGAGCCTAATCTGCTTCCAACTCCCTCCTGCTTGGTGGTTCGACGTGCCCCTTCGCACTCCAACGCCAACGTCCAACGCCAATCTGCGTCCAACGCCCTCCTGCTTCGTGGTGCTGCGTGCCTCTTCCGACCGGCGGTTGCCCGCCTCGTGCCCGTCGGGAGCCTTGAGACGGGGGTC